GTAATTTCATTGAAATCATTAGATTGACATCAAGTTCTAATATTTGATGGAGCCCACAATCAATCCGAAGGCTAAAATGAATTAGATCAGTAAATTAAATTAATAAATTATGTGCAATAACATTGTTGTCTTTCCAAACATATTTTTAAACGAATACCATTGGTTTTTTGTAGCCTCGGTTTTGTGAGGTAACTCTAGGGGCATCCGCCGACGGAACAACACAAAGTGATTCACTTGGTCAAGCCTAATTTACATTCTCTTTCCTTCTCTTTCTTACACAGAATGTAGCTTCCAAAGAGAGACTTTTTTACAGTTTTATTAAGGACTGTTCAAGTGCTTTGAGATAATATGTTTTTTACATTTTCCCTGTGCTTTGCTTTTAGGGGTAACATGATAAAAAAGGAAAGGGAAAAAAGGAGAAAGATGATGGTACAGCCCATTCGTATGGTATATAGATGGGATTCAACAAAGGTTCGCTACTTAAATGGGTAAATTTACAACTTACTCGAATATCAACGTTAATTTATCAAAAAATTAATTTTATGTTACTAAAGGTAGGGAAATCCATGCTCCGAGTATAACATATAAGATAAAGTATATTACTTTTTAGGAGAGTTATATTTGAAGTACGATAAGTGACATAAATTATGAGTTTTTTATACCTAGATGACAAAAATTAACTGAAAATTCAATATTAGTCCTTGTAGGATATAAATAATACTTAATGATAGGAAACCCAAGTTCTGTATTATATGCAACATAAATTATATCTACTTATGATTGTGGCCGGTAAAAGTTCATTCAAATATCAACAATAGTCCTTGTAATATATACACTGCACTACTAAACTGTAGAGAAATCCTATAAATTACATCTGTTTCTTGTCTCCAGAAGATAAATTTATAATACTATAGGGGGAACATGTATGCCGAATAAGACAATATTTACGTGGTTCGATAATTTACTTACGTCCACGAAACTGCAGGAGTTTTACTATCCTCAAGAACAATCACAGAGAGGGCGGCGGCTGTACAAAGTTAATAAAAAAAAATTACCCAAAAGAAACAGGTATTATATGTCTTACACCGGGGTACAAACAAGCAGGCCAAAAAAAAAATCGGTCCAAGCCTTCGCTCTATGGACTAAGCCTCAGAAAATTTTTCATTAAAAACCACGCAACATTTTTTGGGTCGGGTCATCGTCCAGATCAACATAAAAAACTAGACTCCACAAAAAAAACCCAATAGGTTTGGATTATTACCTGTAAAGACCAACAATTGCACATAAAAGGGTTGCTGATATGTTCCAACTTCCAAGCTCATTGAAGAAAATTCCAAAAACAACCTGAGGGTTGGGGAAGAAAATAGAGAAGAACGGGGTGGTAATTTTTAGGTATAATGAACATACTATAGGTATGATGTTTCCTTAAAAAAATTGAAGGCATTTGCCTTTTTATAGCCTCGTGTTGTTATTGTGGTGGGGTCACTTGTCATGGTGTGGCGAACACAGGTTGGGTCAGACCGCTCACGGAACACAACAAAAACCAACCCTCATTTTTAATTGAACAAGAAAGGTGAATAAAGGAGAGAGTAATAATTAAATAACGACAACTAAGCTAAAGGTATTATAACTAAAGCATTCTTATCCTATGCCCCATGGGTTGACATCTTTTAGTATTGCTTCCCACGGAATTGAGTTCCAAGTCCCCAACTAGCTATGGGCGGCTGCATTGGAGGATCTGCGTCATGGTTCATGCTCCAATCTATGTGAATCTGCATTATCTTCTTCAGGTCATTGATAATTGGGAGGATACTCCAATGTGGCTTCTTGTGACAGAGCATTGTTGTATAAATGATGGTCTCTGAATCCCCCTCCAATGTAACATAATTCCATCTCTTTTCATATGCCCAAAAAGCTGCTTGCTTTGCTGCCAATGCTTCAGCTATTAGTGTATCCACCTCCGGATGAAAGGAGATGATAGTTCCCAAGATTGATCCATCATTATTCCTAGCGATGGCTACTAAGCTGAATCTTTAGGCACCAATTGCAGCATCAAAGTTTATTTTTATTACCCCTTCATGGCTGGAGACCACTTTGTGTGTAGCGTTGGCAAGGGTGGGCCTTGGTTAGTTTCCACTGCCTCATTCTTTGTTGAGGATAGGTATTCATTAAGGGACACTAGAATTTCATTCAGGATGCTCTGTGGAACTATGACAAAATTATGAAACAGGACTTTGTTCCCTGAGTTCCATATGGCAGTGACCATGGTCCCCATGAAAGGCAGCAATTGATCTTTACGAGGAGTCATTCGTCCAAACAAAAGGCTTGGGTTCAAGATATGATGTATCCATTGCTGGATCTTGAGTTGAGGAAGTGGATTCGTCTTAGAACCCCAATGAGTAAACCAAATCATCCTTGCTAAAGGGTACATGAAGAAGAGGTGTGAGGTTGTTTCAGGGGATTGGTGGCAAAGTGATAGGAGGTGTTTGGGACATGGAATCTTGTAGCCATGATACCTCTAGTTGGCAAGGAATCAGAAACTAGTCTTCACATTGTGACCTTGTGTTTCTCATGGATTGATGAAGTCCAAAGTTTCTTCCAACCTGCTTATGCTAGATAGTGGCTGGATTCATCCATCAAGTTGCTGTCTCAATGTGCTAGAAACAGAGCTGGTTTCAAAGGTTCTATTTTTTGATGGGATCCGAGCAATGTGATCAGGAACTGAGAAGGTGGGGATTTTGATTTTGGTTATTTCCTGGGCTGTTTGAGGTCAGAAAAGTGTGGATAGGAGTTCCTAATCCCATGTGTTAGTGGATTGGTCAATGAGCTCAGCAACAAAGTTTGGGATGTCTTCAATCTCAGATTGTAGTTTTAGTTGTGGTTTGAATGAAGGAGTATACGGAATCCATGGTTCTGTCCATATGTTGATTGAGTGGCCATCTTCCACAATGTAACATGCCCCCTTTCTATTATATGTCTGCATTCAAGAATTTGTCTCCAAATTGGTGAATCTCCTTGGTGGTGTTTGATATAAAAGAATGAGTTCCTTTGACAGTACTTTTCACTGAGTTGAGTAGTCTACATTTTTTCTTTGCGCACTAGCAATTGTCACCCCAATTTAGCCATCAAGGCCATGTTTATATCACACATCTTCTTGAAGCCCAGCCCTCCTACTAATTTTGGCCTACACATATTATCCCATGATGTAGTGACCATAGCTTTATGATTCTCAGTGTGTCCCCACCAGAATTGTCGTATCCTGCTATCGATTTGTTGCACAGAGTTTTTGACAGTGAGAATGATTGCATTGCATAAATCGGCATGGCAAGTGCTGTGGACTTGATTAATGTTGATCTTCCAGCATAGGACAAAGTCTTAGATTTCCATCCTTAGAGTTTGGCATCAAGTTTTTCAAGCACTGGTTGGAAAGTTTTGTTCTTTGATTTCCCTACTTGGAGAGGCAGACCTAGATAGCTCGCATTAGGACCTCCTTTCTTAAGGCCAATAATATTCGTCACTACTCTGTTTGTTACTCTCTATACATTCAAGATATAAAACACTCTTGATTTTACATGATTTACTTGTTGCCCAGACCATGCTTCAAATGTATCAATACAATTTTTAATTGCTTGTGCATCACTTGCATCAGCTCTCCCAAAAATCATGAGATCATCAGCGAATAATAGGTGGGAGATTGCATCACATTGCCTTGAGATCTTGATTCCTTCGAGATTTTCTCTAAACATATCCCTGTGTAGTAATATGGAGAAAACTTTTTAAAAAAAAAAAGATAAAGAGGAAATGAGAGGTAGGGTCTCCTTGCCTTAACCTTATTTTGGCCGGAAATTTTCCTATAGGTCTGCCATTTATCAGAATTGAAAAAGAAGTAGTAGTTATGCAGTGTTGTATTATCTAGATGAAATGGTGAGGAAAGCCTAGGAGTGAGAGGAAATGAAGAAGATAAGGCGATTCAATTTTATCGAAAGCTTTTGACATATCAATTTTAAGGAGCATTAAGACATCTTTTCCTCTCCTTTTTCTCATCTGGTGGACAACCTCTTGTACTAGAACGGTATTATCTGCTATGGTCCTGCCTGGTACAAAAGTTGTCTAGTTCGGTGATATGATGCTGTCCAGATATGGTCTAATGTGGTTTGCAAGGATCTTTGAAATCAATTTCTATGTGACATTACACAAGTTGATGGGTCTGTACTGATGGAGTGTGTTGAATATTGTGGACTTTGGTGTAAGGTAGATATTTCTGGAGTTCAGTTTGGTGAGCATGTGTCCTCTCGCGAAGAAGCTTCTTGCTGAATTAGTTAAGTCCTCACCGATGGTATGCCAGTAAGTTTTGTACAAAATCACTGATATACCATCAAATCCTGGGGCTTTAAAGGATGACATGGAGAAGAGCGTAGCTTTGATTTCTTCTAGGGATGGAATTGCACAAAGTAAGGGATACTGGTCAGGTATGATGATGGTTGGGACTAAGCCTTCTAGATCTTGTGGGAAGTGTGGAATGGTAGAGTTGAACAAAGATTGAAAGTGGGTTAGGAATTCATTACCTATCTCATTTCTGGTTGTGACCCATGCGCCATCAGCGAGCTTAAGACAATCAATACTATTCCTTTTCCCCCTGATTACTGTAGTTGCATGAAAGAATTTTGTATTTGCATCCCCTTCTTTCATCTATTGAACTCTGGACCTCTGCCTCTATAAGGTTTCTTCACGCTTTAATTGTTCTGAAAGTTCAGATAAAAGGAGTTTCTCTTCCAGCAGGTTATCTACAGTAGGATCAGATTGCTGCAAAGTGTTGATCCTTTCTTGAATAACTTTCCTGTTGTTAATGCAATGCCCAAAATTCATCCTGTTCCATTGCTTCAGTGAATTTTTTGTAGCTTGAAGCTTCCTGTAGAAACGGAATGCAAAAGATCTCTATGGCCTGTTTTCCATGCTTGCTTTATGACAGGTGGCTGATGGGGTTCCTGGTCCACATGGCCTCAAATTTGAAGGGTTTTGGCAGGATTTGCTGGTCCCCTAAAGTGTTTAGGAGAAGAGGGGAGTGATGAGATTCTATAGCTGGGAGGTGTTTCACAATCGCCCTTGGGAATAAGGTTCTCCAGTTCAAATTCACCACCTCCTTGTCTAGCCTCTCTTTGATATTTGCAAGGCCCATCCTTCTTGTTTGACCAAGTGTATGGGTTCCCAGCATAACCCAGAACAACCATACCTTGACGATTCTCTGAACCCCGCTTTTGATGAGTTTGCAAAATGACGCCCCCATTTTTCCTCCTGCGAGGTAATGTTATTGAAATCACCTATGAATAGTAGTAGTACTGGAAATTCTTCAATAATTTTTCATCATCGAGTTCCACAGTTGGGTTTACTAGATCCTATTCGTGGGCGCATATATTTAATTCAAAAGCCATTGCGTTTC